CGAAAATACGAAATTTCCTGGGTGCACACAGTGTGTACACCATATCTATCGTACTCGCGAGCCTGCTCGTTGATGGCGACCCAATGGAAGACCGCCGACCGCGGGCGCTTTGAATTATAGATGAGTCGCGAATCGCATTTAAAGTCTTTACAATTGTCGACTTTGCCTTCGTTGATCCGCATCACTATTCTCATTTGCTTCTTAATGGTAATGGAAATTTGATTAGACAGAGTATTTTGATAGAGAAAATATGTTTTACATATTATGTTTTTATTTTTAAAACATGTATATAATAAAGCTAGTAAAATAATAAATTTTTAGTACAAAAAAAAACAAATTCTTCTTCTAAATTTATCTATTTACGTAAAAAACATTTTAAGAATTTTGTGTAAGTAATAGCATAAAAGTTTCATGGTAAGTTATCTATTCTTTATATATCGTTTTAATAATTACATTGCATAGTATATGAATTTGGATTGTGAATAGTTGAATACATATTATACATATTATCCTATTTCTATCATAATTATAGAACAATTATCTCATTCGTGAACAGTTAATAAATGTTCTAGAAAAAAATATCAGTAATTATTAGTTTTGAAAAGATGAAATTTTCAGCAGCATAGACGATAAACGCTGTGAGATTACTGAGGATGGTCTGATGGGAATTTATTGATGAATTAATTACAAGCATGTGCGTGATTCCTTCTACGACGATAACCGCCAGCAATTTTTAATTAACACGTACGACAAAGGGAGCCAAATGACCAGTACTGATCGATTCATCGGGGCGCTAACCACATTCCTTTGGTTACACTTCTCTCTTAGCAAACTAACACAAAAGAGAAAAATATTCACACCATCAAAAATTTTTATGACAGAATAACGTAGAGCAGATTGGTTGTCACAGTTTTTCAAAAATGATTTTTAGAAAAAAATGGATGTAAAATTTTGAAACATTATATACGTTATATAACATAATTACATTCCTTAGGTATTGAGAGAAAAATATTACTTTTAAATATATCATCGTACAAATAAGTAATTTAATTTTAATTAAATCACAAAAATGTGACAATTAACCCCATACTCAGAGTTGATTGTCACATGTTCCAGGATTAATAGTAATACATTTTTTATGGATAATAACACATACAAAAATTGCAGTTTTTATTTTAATGTCAATTCATATTTTTAAAAAATAATAGTAATTATGTTATTTTGTTATAAGTTTAATAGTTATTTTAATCATAAAATACGTAATTTGGTTTTCAGCTTTTGTACTACTCATAGTTTCTATATGAAAAATGAAAGAACATATATGTTTATATAAAATATTATATTTTTGTAAACATATTTTTCTAAAAAGGAGCCGATCTAAAGAGATTAAAATTGATTACCTAATCCTGGCTCATTTTGGACGACCTACCTCACATGGTCGTTTTTAGTAAACGAGATTGTATTCACAAACTTTGTCAGAATAATAATTTAACTGTAGTAAAAATTTTCTAAGACGTACTATTTTCTGTAATTACAAGGAATCGCGATTGATAATGCTAAAAACTTATCAGACAGCAAAATAGGAGATAAGGAAAATTTACTCACAACTTCATTTTCTTAAAAGTTGTTCTAAATAATATATATAATGCTTTTGGTGCAAAGCTTTTTACACGACAAATTAATATTATCAATTTATCAATTTATAGTAAAAAAAAAAGAGATTTTTATGCCATATTGAATCATAAGCATTTTAATTGACGATCAACCTCTTACGACCCGGTCGCGGTCTCCCCTCCTGTACTTATTACTAAATACTTTTTATTTTTTAAATATCTTATTGCATTTTACCCGTAATCAATATAAAAATAGCAGATTTTGAAATTAAGACTACAACATAACAGAAATTTCATTATTGTGTAATAAATAGATATTTAATCATCCATTTTCCGACATGGATAACTCAGAAACACAGCGTAATATAAGTCAATCTGGAAAGACAGAATCCATGCCATGTTAGAAAAGCAAGAAATCGAGCCGAACGCCAAAAAACAACAAGATATACATGACGACATCAGTAACGGAAGTAACGGTAACTGTTTCCGCACGAGAAACAGCGCTCTGCGCGCCCTCAGTCTCGGGATCGTCTGACCTACCCTCTCTTCTACCACTTCGAACGAAGGAAGGAACGAGCCAGACTCCTACCCTCTGCCACCCACTCGCCCCTCCAGCCTGACAGACCACCCCTCCAGTTACCGCTGCCGCCGCCGCCGCTGCCGCTGCCGCCGCCGTCGTCGCCACCACCACCGCGATACATTGCGATACAGGGTTCTTGTCTCCACGCTGCCTACCTACGTGCAGGACCAGCGCTTCACCAAATCCATAGTCCATTACATCCTAGTCTACGAGACGCCGTCACACTAGCACCCTATATCCGTCTGTTCATCCGCCATTATCATTTTTTTATCCATCGCTCGTAACTCGCGCCGTGACACTTTTTTCCTCACCGTCACGCCAATACCTACAATCGCCGGCCGCATAAACACAACACCATATCAGGACGCACGCGTACAAACAACCACGCTTACGAACCGGTACGCGTTCCCCCCGTCGTTCTTCGGCGCCCGTTCGAGAGACACCTGAAAACGGAAAGACGTTCGCGAAAGTGACGTTTTTCAGCAGTGCGTGACAAGTTCGACGATTGTGACAGGTGCTCCGAGTGCGTATGTTTAAGTGATTATTTTAGTGCAAGGGGTAACGTGAAATCTTTCCAGAAATACGCCTCAACAAATTATAATCTGCCCGCAGAATGGTGCTCGTGTCCGACGGCCAAACGTCTTTTATGGCCTAGCAAAGAATATAAAGATTTGTGAGATTTCAAGCGACATTATCGATCTGAAATCTATTAATTAACGTTAATTTGATTAGCACGCTAAAATTATTTAAATTATTTTAATCGTTGTGCGAGATAGGAAAATTATATTCAAAATAAATTTCACTTAGATATCTGGTGACGAATCCCGGTATATCAAGACCGATTTATTTTATGTCCTTAGAAATTGAATAATAAAAGCTGATTGATATCTGGTTTGTATCTATCGAGATAAAAGGATATTTTGAAGCAGCTGCGACGAACTCTAGATAATTCGATTGACAGGATAAGCGCGCACCTGATACCCTACGCAGTCTCTCGTACATCTCGATTTCTTCTCACCGTTTAATCGACTTACTCACCGAATCGTGTTTTATCCTTTTGTCTTGATTACTTGCTCGTATATCTCGCCGCAACACGATTAAGTTTCTAAGAGCACAAGCGACGTTTATCCAATTCCAACACATTGTCCTAGAAGTGAAAATGATCTTTATATGAACAGACGCTCCCTCGTTGCTACCAACTTCCGTGTTAACATATAAATAAACATCAGCTTGATATTCCGGGAATTTGCGTGTTTGCGACGCGCGTTGTCTACTTAAGATTCACGGCGTTGAGATTTCATAAAAACTTCCGGCTCGGTATTGACAACGAAACGCAGGGTGAAAGTAGTTGAACTCAAGCTAGTACGAGCCACGTGAAACTGGTCGCTACCTCGCCGGGCCATACAGATCCTGGAGGCTTGAAAGCCCCTGATTTCCCGCGCACAGCAAGAGCGAAGCACACACAACCACCCCAACCAACCAACCGACGAGTCGACCCACCGCCACCAACCCCTACACACAACAACCCAACGAAGCATCCCCCACTCTGAATCGCACAACAGCCTGAACGGAAGTGCTAGTCAGTCGGCGAGCGACCTTCCAACATTACGGGTTAGGTTCCCTCTTTTTCCACCCGTCGTGTCTTTAACCTCATTTGTACGATCGCGAGGACCGGCCGCTTTGTTTGATTTACCCGTGAAGGAAATAGAGAAAGTCGCCGCAATTAAGGGTGTTGATCCTCTTACAAAGATCGAAAGTAACCGCCGCTTTTTATTTCATATGTCATTTGCGCGGCAATAACGTTTAATCAGATTTCTATAGTCCATACCTGTCATACATGAAAGATATTTAAAGCAGCGTTAACAAGAATAAAAGAAGGTGCTATTTGAACGATCAGTGATTATCGTTCTTCCAATTGTGCGTGTACCGCGAACCTCGTGTCTTTTTCCGCAATGCGTTCGTAAGCTAAAACCTTTGTGCGACGCGTGCGATTGCGAGTGTTGTTCACCATAGTCTAGTCATCATCAGGAAGATTTTGATAGGTTTTAATAACAAATAACATGCAATTGCAAGTTGCGAGATACATGCAGTAGACACACGTGCTGCAGTATCTTCAATCATAAAGAAGAAACACACGTTTTATGACTTATATTGCCGAATCAACTGACACAAGGGCTCCCAAACAGATTGCTCCGTTACAGATCCGAACCAATTGCTGAGACTGAAACACATGCTCTGCTGACTAGGAAGACATCGTCAGTTTACCGGTTTATATACAATACGATGAAACGTGTTCAACAATTGTACTATCACAAATATAATTGAGCCCATTCTCATTCTTGAAGCCCATTCTTTATAATTTAATACTTAATTATTGTTAATACGATGGTTTATCCTGAGTATTCACTTTAAAAGAAAGAAGAAATTATTTTGACAAGAAAATATATTGCAAACTTTTCTAATTGCGGTGACGTACACACAAAAACAAATGTTTTATGATCCACAACCATACCGGCACTCCTACTAATACAGATTATCCAAGTCGACCACGTGGCCGTGAAGTGACTGTCGACTGCGCCAAGAGTATGCGGTAAACACATTCCACAGGACAAAATTCGATAAAATCTAGTATATTCTTCAAAACATTTCCTAGAAAATTGTGACAAACGTAAAAGGCAGTTTTCAACACGATAGTGTCGTTTTGTGGTAAACAGCGGTGCTAACAGAGTTTAAAAACAGAAAACATCGGTGGTTAAATTTGTTTGTTAAAACTCATCTTTTCTCGTCACAAGGCTGCAGTGAGAACTGTGATTTTTCATTAATTCGTTTAAAGTAAGCAGCCTTCTACGTGAGTGTCGGTGTTGTGATACATATTTAAAAAGCAAGTCGAAGTGAAGCGATTCAAACTTTCTCTGTTGATTGTTATCGCTTGATCCAAGAAGATTTGGAACAGATCAAGAATCAGCGTACGCCACGTGCAAGTTCAGAGTAAATCGCCCCCAGTCAACAACAAAGTAGCAAAATCCCACCCGCAGGCAATCGTGAGTTTAAAGAAGCCCAAGTTGAGGTTGTTCAGCCCGGCTCAACGATCGACGTCAACAGGACGTATCAACAAACCCCCCAACAAGGAGGGTGGGTGCAGTGGTGCAGTGGTTGCCGGAGGGCCAGCGAGCTTGGGGTGGCCTCGTCCACAGGCGCCTTGGCACCGAGCGCACCGGGCCCCGGGGCTGCGGTGGTGGGTTGCCTGGTTGGGGTGTACCCGTGTTCTCCCTCCTCCACGGGGCCCAGGGGCCCCCTAACTCATCATCTCCAGGCTATCCCGAATCAGCAACAGTCGATCGGCTGCCGTGCCTGTTGCTGCGTGCATAGCAATCACCAACCAACTTCGGTCCAGCTTACCAGCCAGCGGGGCGGTCTATCGCTGAGGGTAGCGAGGGTGGCGTCCACCACCTCCGTCCGAGCCGCCCCCTACGCCCACCCCCAGCACCAGGGGCTGGGGCAGGAGTGCAGGTAATGATAAATTATTAAACATACATTGTAGCTTCACTTCGACACGTATTACTACCCCCCTACTACTACTACCACTACTAGTACCACTACCACTACTTCTACCTCTACTACTACCACTACTACCACTACTAGTGCTACTGCTACGCTTCTACTCTGCTCGTCGTCGTCGTCGGCAGTACTTGACAAAAGTAACATAATAAAAGTAACGATACACGTAGTAACACGCCGAACTTAAGAAAAAAATAAAACAAAAAACACGGTTGATGGAGTAAAGAAAGTTACCCAAAACCAAAAACGCACGAAAAAGGTGTAGGGAGGAGACGGGGGCATTGGGTGGAGGTGGTGCGCACATCCTCGGCAGCCCGATGCTGTTCGTCCCGTTCACGGTACCCACCTTCCCTGCGACGCATCATCAGACGACTCATCCTGCGCACCAGTCGCATCATCAACAGCTGCAGGCCAACACCCAGAATCCGGTGCAGCAACCGCAGCAGCTCACCCAGTTGAATCAGCTGAGCCATCTGAATCATCAGGGCATCGTGCCGGCGACAACCAATCAGCCGACTATACACAGCACCAGCTGTTCGCCGCAGCAACAAGCAACGACACCGAATAAGGTAAAAAATTATTCGATTGCTTGATGCAGTTATATGCAAAAAGAATATTTTGAAAATATCGGAGAATATTAATTTGATGGGGGAATACATTTTGTAAAAGGTTATCATACCGCAGAAATATCATAATAATAACAGTATTGTTGAATTTCGCTTCTAATGTATACGTTAATTATATTAAACACGCACGTATGCATTAGAAAAAGAATGCTATTATAATACTAATAGCATCCAATTGCATAGAAAGAAAAATAATGGTGTATTATCATGTATAACATAATTTTCTGCACGTAAGCAAGTCCACATTAATTGAGCAAAATGCGTACTTGATTTCATAAATCTTCTGTTAATTTTCTAATGCAATAAAACGTTTTTAAGTCTTTTGATGGTTTCAGTATATCTTGTCTCATTGTACTATTACATAAATAGTACCAATAAAATTACTTACATAATTTATAAAATAATACTGCTATAGGATGACATCGATAATATACACAGTAATAGCAATAATAAAAGAAATATTACTCTCAATATTAATACCAGCTCAATATCAATATCATTTATCATTGCGTTATTAGAGTTTCATTCCATAACGCAAATATAAAAAATTTAATTTTCTCTTCTATCAAACGTAAATAATAATTGATAGTAAATAAAACAGAATTAAAACAATTAAGTAACAACTATTTGTCAGAGAGAGGGAATAAAGTATGATAACCCGTGATATATCTATATAATAATATATTCAGATCTGTTTACTAAATTACTTTTAGATAAACTATCATAAACATACGTGTCTATTTGCAATTTTTGAAAACATTCAATATTTGAAAATTGGAAGATATAGTATAATTCTAGTAGATATTTAGCAAGTATAGAATGGACGAACTGTTCCAATCAAAATAATACAATACTTATATCGCGTTTAATATCGCTCGTAACATCGATATTGCGATACAAGTTTTGAAGCTCACTAATAGATATTTATTAATATTAAGATCGACAGCCACGATCTATAATTTATATAACGAGGAGGGTTTTCCTTCTGGTCGTTTTACGGATTTGAACGACCTCTTCCTTACTGGTATCGCTTATGGTGTCGGGATTGTTTCTTCATTTTTCTCGCTCGCGCTTTCTCGCAGCCATGCGCTTTTATTATCCTGGCGTAGATTCAAGTCAATTTTCTTTAGCAAGCCATAACTCGTCGGAAGATTCTCCCGAGAAGTACGGCGACCGATGCGCCATAGTACAAGCAAGACGTCATGATGTTGGCAGAGAGAACGCGGTTTAATTCTTGAAGTCTGGCAATCCACGGGTGGTGCTTCCTTTTCCGGGGGTTCGTCTGCGTGTAGTCCCTGAAGCTGTAGCATAGTTTGAAAAGATTTTCAACCCTTTCCGCTCTTGGCGTCGACACGCCAATGAAGAGGAAATATGTATTCCGCGAGTTATTAATTATAATGTGCTGGATTAAGAGAATTTCTACGTAATATAGATTTTTTTACAAAACTCAATATTAATTTATAATATCTATTAATTAATTGTCCAAGAGAATTGAAAAAATTAGTTTTATATTATTTTCACACATACGTTTTCTAAAAATATAAACTAAAAATATATTAACTTTGCGAAATGGTAATTGGAGAAATGTAAAATTAAATTTCAAACAAAACATGTATTATATAAAAAGACAGTTTTTATGTTTAAAAAAAATCTCGTTATGTGAAATTTTGTTGAGTGATATAGAAAGATTGATAGGTCCAATGAAAACGTTTATATATGTATTTAACGTGTGCTACGTGAAACGTTTGATCAATAAACGATGTGTGAAGTGACTCTTACGTCACTCTATGCATATTACGTTGAATATGCTATACATCTATTTCCATTATGCCGCATGTAAGTACGTGTCGTGTAATGCACGTGAAAATGTCGCTGACTTAATATACGTAGCAAAAGTCCAACACAGATGCACTATTACGAGCAACGTTTACGCATTACATATGTGTATATGTACTATATAATTTACATAACGGTAATGTATACTCTGTTGTATACATATATGGTGTTATATATGCGCGAGCCACGACATCCGTATGTATTACAAATTCGGAGTGTCTACACGTGACTGTAAAATGTGTATTCACGTTCTGTGTACACCGCTTCTTGAACTGCACGTATAAATTTCTATAAGCTAGAATACCTGAATGTGCTCAAAAGATGAAACGTTAACTTTCTACTACTTTTATTCAAGCAAAGTTAAAGGGCTTATTTTATACAGAATTTATTATGGGCTATTTTATTATTTAGAATAAATAAATTATTTTTGTGTGTTAGAATATACTGCGAATCAGTTTTTATTTTTAAATATATTTATTTTATTTTTGTTAGTACGAATAACGACACTTAATTTCTAAATCTTTATGACTATACTAATTTAAGTGCAATTAATGAGAACTCACACAATCCATTTTTAATTAAAAATCAGATAGAGAGAGAGAGAGAGAGAGAGAGAGAGAGAGAGAGAGAGAGAGAGAGAGTTATCAGCTGTAATTCTATTTTTATCCCGGATATAAAAAATGTAATTACAAACACATAGTGCAATTATATTTTTTTAATAACACATAAGAAGAAATGCGATAACACCTGTTGCCAAAAGTTTACCATGAATATTTAATCATGATTTGATAGCATTATCTTTCATTGATGTAATTTATTAAGAGGGTATTTTCCAATACGTCTCATAAATTTCAAAATATATTTACATAAAACAACATCTTGCATATAACTATCTTGTATTTCATACAGAGCTATTCTTTCTATTCACACAATGATTTCTATTAATTTCATAATACAATAAAAAGAAATATAAGCAAGATGAACGCAAATTTAAAAAAAGGTTTAAGTTGATAATTGTTACATCTACATATAAATAAATTTGTTATATTTAAATATTTGTTAATTTTACTTATCAAACGTTATTAATATCATAAACTGTTTAATTTTTTAAAATACTTTAAACAATTATATATATGTATAATATAATAAAAAAACAATCATAATTATCATGATCGAAGGAAAATTCATCAGGGGAAGTATCTCTGTAAAATAAGCGGAAGGCACTTTCTCATCCAATAAAGGGTTACAACTTCGCAGGTAGGCCTTTACGAAAGATGCGAAGTACGAAGAGCAATGAGGGGAAGTGGGGGAAAATACCAGAATTTCTAAAGCGAAGGAAATAGCTGCTAGTGGGTGGGGACGGGAGGCAGGAAGACTTTGAGAGTTGTTCGCGTAACTTTATTAATTAAAGGCCGTTAGTCCTTGTTGCTCGATACACCTTATATAGCCGCCACGGTCATGGTTCTCTCGTACAAAGAACAAGCTTCTCATCCCTTTTCCTCTCCTATGCTTCTTGGCGCCTTCGTCAACGCGCTTATTCGCGTATCGATCATCGTCACTGTCCACTATAGTAAATAGTACCTTGCGCATTATTCTTTTTTATGTATTATATTGTTGCTTTTTCCTCGCTTGCGTAAACAATCTTTCTTTTAATACATTTTAATCAATCCTTCTCTTAGCTTTATGAAACGAATCTGAAACGCATAATTATTATAATTTGTTTTCAAGTGAAATAACAATAAATCGTAATAACCATTAAACAATATAAATTATTAAATAAACAATATATTGATAATGATGTAACATAACAATATTGATACTAGAAATGTTAATTACATTTAATACAATGAAGTGATTCGAACTTTTGTTTGAATTATATGGTTTAAGTCATGTAAGTATTATTTAAATAATTAAATTATTTCATATAAGTATATTTTGTTATGGTAGTAAGTTGGAAAATTATTTGGAAACTATATAATTATTAGTTATAATTATTGCAGAATAATTCAGCGGCACAAGTAGAAAAACTGCATTTCTGAGAATATTTGTAGAAATTTTCAATTAAAAATTGTCTAAAATGTTTCATTTTCACGTAGTAATAACAATATTTCTACGTTTTCAAAAAGATTGGACGCTAGTCTGTACAGTTTTTGTATTGATTTACTAATTTGTTTTTATTATAATTGATGAATGTAAAGCTTTCAAAAGAAAAACTGTTGTAGAACTCTTTTAAAAGTTACAATTTTGTGATTACAAAACTTTTTATTGGTGCCAAATTGTTTTTTGATTAGTGATATTTTCATCGTTCATACGTTTTGCCGTACAGAAAAGATAAAATATGGGCTGTGCGTATTATTTTTTTATCTACGTTGCTTTCTTTTCAGTTTTCCTTCTCACGTGTGATCAAATGTACAGTTACATCACTTATAGTGTCGTGATTCAATGTGATATCGCGTGTCCATGAAGTGTTAAACTGAAAGACAAGTACTGAGCGTTATCGAGGGTTCTTTCTATCCATATCACATAAAAGAAAAAGGCGACTCATTCGCATCACTTCATCGTCTTATGTCCTCCGTGTTGCCTCTGACGCAACAGCTCCGACATCCATCATCGTCACCATCTATTGCCGTTTTTCGCGCAAAGAAAATATCTCACGATTCCCGCACAATATCAAACCTCCTACAAATTCTTTTTACGTTGTGCAACGCTTACTTTACGTTCTAGGTTCCGTTAGCATCTGCTCCTACGCGGGAAACTTTGTGCGAGAAGATAATTATGAGTCGGCCGGCAAATGTAATGAAAAGAGTACAAAGACGTATCCAACAAAGGATAACCGGTTAGCACTTGTCATAATTAGAAAATTGCTTTTTGCATGATAAAAATGCGTTGCGGTAAAGAAGCGCAGAAGGAATTCATTATGGGGGTGTGTGGGGTTGGAATGGGCCGTGTACCTTGCCTGCCTACCTGTCTGCGTGGAGACGCGACTGAAGGGTATTGGTAGAGCCGGGTGCAGGGTGACTGGGACATTCGCGTGGATGGCGGGGACGGCCACGCGTTTTCAAGGGAAAGCGACGCGGAGGTTGCCGACGATGGCCAGGGGGTGTGCC